TAAGCAACCTAAAACTTGATTTAGTGTGCATGGTTTAATTCTTCATTAGAAATACTTATGTTATTTTTGTACCTTGGGCGTCAAATATTAAATATGGTGCTGCACCGTGCAGTTTCTAAATATCAGAAATCACTTTTAAATCATATTAACCATAAACATAATTCTCTTGATATCAACAGAACAGCTATTGTTTACCTGTATATAAATTCTGCATTATGATAGACTGGAGCTTGATGAAATGAGCAATTGGCCATTATCAATTTCTTAAGTAATTAGTTGCATGCATTGATGTTATATAGTCATATACTAGTATTTGTTTGTTGCTCGTAGAAATTATGATATCCGTTTAGAGAACTTTTTATTCATGTGGATACATCACCAACACAGTCTCTGCTCTCATCCAAGGGAGCGGTCTCTATGTACTACATTGGATTCAGACCCGTGATGTAAGAATCAGCACCTACTTCCCGACTTGAGGCGTATCGCTCTAACCACTGGGCCACACTGTGTGACCCATTATGAAAATTTGACATAATACTTTTACGTCTATATGACTTCTAAATTTTATTGACTTGATAAAATGACTGATACACAAATAAGATTTTTGTAATCTCTCTGTTTATAGCTGTTTACCATTTGCCATATTTCTATCACTAATTAAATCAATTTTCAACAATGGCCACTAAAGAGTCATAGTTCTGTCTTATTATATAAATAGTTATCTGCCCTTGATGCAAAATGGAATAAATAAAATAAAGTATTAAATGGATTATAATTTTGAATCAAAGAAGGCATACATATATATCTTAAACAAACATAATTTAGATGTAGTCTTGCTTTTATGAAAAATTGTAACTTATCTAATTTTTCTCACTTTCAAATATAATTGCTTTTCAAGAACTTTTAAATTGTGGATGTGATAGGACTGCCACTTAGAATTAGACCAGAGTGTGTCCATTTTAATAAGATACAATTTTCCATCATTTTTTTTCTTTGTCATGTGTCTATTAGAATTTTAACTGAATGTCAGGTGCAAGCAAATGGATATGCAAGTGGTTTTGGGGACTTTTCTTAGCTCATGCTAAAAACAAAAACAGTTATTAATGTACGGTACTGTACTAACTTGATCTATTTTAATTTCAGATATCCACTGAACAAATCATCTGAAAACTAAGTCTAGTAGGAGAGGATGAAGAATACTTCTGTTAAAAGGTATGTTTTAACAGTGAGTAATAACTTAATATAATTTATGTAGCTCTATTTTAGGAAATTAAGGACTGAAGCATAAAGTTTATGTTTTTATTTTCTATTGTTTTGTTAATCTCACTGTGTAATGTTAAGCTCTCTATTTAGTATTTATCATCATGATCATAGTCAGTGTGTTTTGGGGTTGGGGGGGGGGTTTACATGTAAGCTGCTTTCCTCTACTTTTGAAGTTTTATATAATATATTTATATGTTTCCATGAAATAAACAGATGTTAACATTTTCTTAGAAAGTCTCATTTTGCGAGCTACCAACTAAAATTGTATGATTTATTTAAGATAAGTATTATCAACATTTTTAGCTTCTCTGCAACCGCTCAACCAATTTCAACCAATTTTGGTGAAGGGGAACAAAATTTATAAATTTTATCCCCACCTCCCCCCGCGGGCCTGAAGGGTGGGGCCAAAACCACTAAAATTCATGCAATCTTTGAAAATCCCCTTCTTCTTTTCCCCTCCTGAACATCAAGCAGTCAAACTGTTGGTATGATTGTAATCGGCATTGAGTCCTCTACCATAATTATGAAATTCATGACCCCAGGGTCAGGGATTCTAGTATTAGGGTGGGTCTTATAGCTCTTTGGAATTAATCAAACCATTTAAGATGAAATAAAACCTATGAAAACATTTAGTAAATTTTGAAATGTGTGGCCCCAGGGTTAGTGGTTCCTGTGGGGTGGGGTACACAACTGGTGGTTATAAAATGGAATTGCATTGTATCTTTATTACTCTGATCTACCTTTGGGTATTAAGTAACCAAAGTAAGCATGTTACCGGTAACTAAGTGTATAATTATGATAAACAAAGGTGCGTCTTTCAAAATTGTGAATTTCATGGCTTTTTGTTTAAATTACGAACAAAATTCAATTGAGTGGAAGTTGTTAGACCTAGAAAAAAATATATTTGTTTCCCCTTTCAGGCTGAAAAAATATAGGTAGATAGGTAGGTAATTATTTTTTTTGAAACATTTTTTTTTGCTTCTTGAATCAAAAAGTGTATAGAAGTAACATTAATGACAAAAGAAATGGTGTTTTCAAGCATTTCTGTGACTTAAACTTATAATAGAAAGGTGACCCAAACTTCTTTCTGTGTTGAAAAGCTTGCAGAGTTGGAGACTATAATTCCCTGGGTGAAATTTTGCACTTCATGGGACAAAAGCATTAAAAAAAAATTTAGGGTTGGCACTATATATTAGGGTCGGTCGGGAACAAACATATTTTTTTTCTAGGCTTTACATGATACTCAGGTAACCTATAAGGTCTGTGGGCCTCTAGTTGTTATACAAATATCATGAATCATGGTCTAAGGGTTTAGGTTAGGGGTACAAAAAATATTTTGATGAACAAATAAAATGAAGAAAAAAATCCTTAATTTACTCTGAAAATCTTATCAGAAACAAATCCATACATACATATTCAGTACATTAAATACATTCAAGTTTGTTTATTTCATTATCCCTTGTCAAGTGTTTAAAAGAGGCAACTTTAATAAACTAATGAGATTTTACACTTGATAAATTTTTAGATTTTTTTTTAATCATTCTGATCAAAAATGCTGAAAATCTGAAATTAATCAAACAAAGGCTTGTGCTAGAACAGTTTTAGGAACTTTCAGTTTGTCAATCTTATTAAAATTAAATGTTAGATCTGCGCACATATTGGCTAAAATCTAATGGCATCCTGTAGAGTGTCACGTCAGACATTAAATTCTATTAAAGCTATCGTGCAAAGTTATAAACCTACTATACGTTACAAGCGAAGCGGTGTCCGCCATATTTCTTTCCTATGCGATAGTTTCAATTCCAAATATATGTGATCGATCACAGTCACGGCCCATTGCACAAGCTTCCAGGGGGCCGTGTGTCTAAACCAAGAAATGTAAGTCAAACCTGTACTGTCTTGCCCTACATTTTACATGTAATAATTGCAATATATAAAAAAAATACATTTATATTCTAATAAAATAAATTTTACAAATAAAGAACATGAAATATATTAGAAATAAATAAAACTTTTAGTCATAATTTCACGAAAGTAAAAATTCACCCACGATTTTTTTTTACGTAGCTTACCAAACGCATACAGTACAAGCTTGACAAGTGAGTGGATCCTATGGTAAGTAAAACAAAAAGTTTCAAGCAATTAGAAATAGTTTATCCAAAGTTGTGTCTTTCGTCTACGCCACGCGGCCATCCACACTGCATGTATAACAAACCGGACTGTCCGGTTTTCTAAATTTAGAATGTGTTCACATCTTATATCATCCAGGGACCTGCAATTATTTTATTTTACGAATTTGATTGCTGTCTTTACTTTGAAAGTCAGCGTATGCTAGTGAATGAATGGGGGTTGCTTACGACAAAAAGTAAATGAAGAATCATTTTGACGTAAATATTTTGTTAGGCAAATAAATTGGAAACCCATGAAAAAAAAAGAAAAGAAAAAAAGGGGGGGGGGTGGCCTCCCTCTTTTTCCCAACAATACTTATACATGTTCTTTAGGAAATGTTCCTTGAAAGACTGGTTGCCCTCCCCCCCCCCCAACTTTGTGTTGACTAAAGAAACTTAGTATAAGAAATTGGAACCCAAAAAAATGGCATTGAAAACAGCCCCCCCCCGAAATAGGATTTTCAACTTTGGCAACTTTTCAGTTTTTGTTTTGTTTTTGTTTTTTGTTTTTTTGTTTTTTGTTTTTTTTTTTTTTTTTTTTTTTTTTTGCTTGTCAACTTTTCTTGTAAGTGAATTTTTTTTCTCTGTATGGACTCCCACTTTTAAAAACGATGCTATGTGCCTGAAGAGAGAGGGAATAACAGTATAAATACCTTTATTACTTCTATAAACGTTTTTACATTATGATATACATATGTAAACAGTATACGTTGCCATGTATCTATAGTCCATTACATGATTTTTTTTTCCACGCGATTACTTCCACTTGTTTTCAATCATGTATGAAGCGGATACATGTAATATATTTTCGATACCTTGCTCATTTGAAGGAAGACGATGCAAGTTCAGTCACTGTGGAAAACATATTGCAAGAAATATTCGGTGAAGACGAATGTAGTATAGAGGAAGACGAGGACATTGATTTAGATGATGAAAATTTGAATGAGTGCGTACTCTCTCTCTCTCTCTCTCTCTCTCTCTGTAGTGTGTGTTACAACCTAATAAGACCATGTCTTGTTTATAGAGTAAGCGACGAAAGCGAAGAGATGCACTTCTTACAAGATCGCAGATATATAGTCGGCGAGAGAGAAATATTGCACCTCATAGAGAAATCCACATGTGATGCGTGTGGACAACGTATTGACAAAAGCACTATCCAGCAGGGAGAAAAAATTGCAGCTGGCATCAAATATAAGTACTTGTGTTTGGTAAGTACCCCATAAAAGAAACGGTATAACCATATATTTTGCTACAAGCCAGTTAAATGGAGAGGGGGGAGTATTTTTTCTCTATTATGCACCCCTTTCTTTCCCGCTTATTCCTTCCTCTATCCTCCCTTCTTTTCTCTCCCTCTCTCTCTCCTTTTCTCTCGCTTTCGATCTCATTACTATAAATTTTTTTTATTTATTGTTTATAATTCTTTTGTATGCCATGTGATAAATATGCATGGCATTTGATATTTTAAAAAAATAAAGGAGGTATTTTTTTTTACAAGAAGTGCAGGATTTGTCAAGTTGAGTCCCATACCCCCCCCCCCCCCCTTCTTATTTCCTTATTTCCCACCCAGTTTAGAATTATGTATGACATTCCTACACAATTAGTTCCTGTATATTTGTTCCGTTTGGATATACTTGTAGTAAATATTAACCATAATTTTGGTTTTCTTATAGAATGGCCATAAAAATAAATGGATTTCGACGCCATTTTATGGTGGAAAAAGTCTTGTAGCACTTCTTATACAGCTTATGATACTTTTGTCCGGTACATCATGGAGCAAGTTTTGCACTGGGGCAAAGTTCATCAATTTGATGATTGGATGTTCACGTGCTTTCTATCATCACCAGCTGTTGTATAAAGTAAGATAAATAACACATCTATAATCTATAAAATAAATTAATTTTAAATGTGAATGAGAAATTAAAGCAGATTTTTTTCCTCTACATATCAGGAAGCAATTCAGAATTTCTTTAAAAGCCACATCACAGATATCCACAGAAAATTTGGAGGAAAACCTCTAAGCTTAGCTGTTGATGTCCGATATGATTCTCCAGGTAATGTCTTTGAATTATGGTAAAGGTGGTAAACTCATTGAGATTTTATGAAGATACAACATTTATATTTCTACAGTACATGATGACGTGGAATAGACACATTTTGCAGGTTTTTCAGCAAATAAAGCCACTGCTGTGTTCATGGACAATGATAGCCGATTAATTGTTCATTTAGATATTGCTGACTCGCGCGAAGTTCAAAGAAGTAGCCCAAAAATGGAGAAATTGCTGATTGAGAGAGGTTTAGAAACTGTAGTTTACAAATTCCCACTTGTAGTTTGGGAGATCGTATCAGACGGCAGTAAAACTATCATTGCTTTACTGAGTAAATATCTATTTTTATAACATTTTACTGTGGTTTTGCGAAATTGAAATTTTTTTTAATAATGATCAATATGATTAGATCAAGAAACATTTTTTTTCAGAGTCGGAAAGATTTCGTCACATCCATCACAGCCTTGACATATGGCACAAAGCTAAAAAACTGGCTTATATGTTGGGAGATTTGGCAAAGAAAGCTTCCAACCGCAGTCTGTTACCATGGATACGACCCACTATCAACCATTTCTGGTATTGCTGCAGTTCATGCAACGGAAATGTCCAGAGGCTAATTAAAAAATGGTTTACTATTCTTCATCACGTAACAAATGAGCATGAATGGCCTGGAGGCAGGTAATTGCGTTGCATTTAAAATCTGTAAAAAATCTCATGATATATGAATTAAAAACAGGCTCAATACATGTACATACATGCTTATCTAACACATATTTATGTATTTATTTCAATTCGTATATACAGGTGCACACATGTTTCGGATTCAAGCAAGTGTAATGGAAAATGGTTGTCTAAATCATCGGAAACATTTAGAGAATTTCGGTATGTTTTAAACCTTACAAGGGGGGGGGGGGGTGTCACTTTCATGTATAATCATATTCATTTTTTTTTTCCAGGAAAATTATCATAAGTAAAGAATTCCTTGGAAATCTTCAATACTACACCAACTGTAAACAAACTTGGGCTATAGAAAACTTCTACTCACATGCATTGTTGCATTATTGCCCTAAACAAATTTCCTTTGCTTATGATTCTTATATTATACGAAACCAATTAGCTGTATTAGATCACAATCATCATGTCGAAAGACAATTGCAGTGTGCCGAAGATGGAACAGCTGTTCCTGTCATACAGTTTTCCCGAAAGACAAAACAATGGGTGGCATATGACAGAAAAGTTCCGAAATCCTATAGTTCTATTCCAGGTATGTGAACAGATAAAGCCTACATGTATATATAAGCAGTACTAGTATTTTTAGATAATCATGATAATCACATGCAGTGTTAATGATGAATGCATATTTGTTACGCGCGGTGGTTTCAAATTTTTTCAGAGGGTGGGGGGGGGGGTTCCAAATTTTTTCAGAGGGGGGGGGGGGGGGGCATACCCACTTATTGAATGTAATCCCTTGATTCGAGTATGAGTTATGATCATTTTGTAGATCTTATTTGTTTGTGTTTGAGACAAACGTATGGTGCATCTGTAGCAACATACACGAGAAGTGCTGAGTCAAAGAAGTTGGATGATATCACTAAAAATCTTTCTGGTGAAAAAGCTCCACCTTCTAAGGAATTGCTGTCCGAAAGAAAGAAAAGAAAAATTTCAGGTAAGCACATGGTATTCAGATTATCAATAATCCCTCTGTATTTCACTATACTTGGCCTGTAAAGATCACTTCTAATTATGATGGTTCGATCTTTATACAAACAAAGCACATTATTGTCCGCCTCTCTTCTCAAACTTCATGCTGCAGAGCACAATTACATTTATATGTACTTTATTTCTGATACTTACGATGTTGAACATGTTTTAAAACAAGTTAATTCGGAAAGTCCAGTTTAGAATGTTTACTATCTCGAATTGGTTTTATGAATAAATTAAACCGAAATAAAAACACGCTGGAAAAATCTGGTCATGTTGTCGGAATAACATGGAGTTTCCCTCCATTATATGTACACTTCTTTGAATGAATTTTGATGGAGCAAAATCAAGTCGATTTTGACGATGACTTTGTGGTGATGTACACGAAATGAACATATCCGACTTTATGTCAGAAGAAAAAAAATCAATGCATCAAGGAACTCTGGGCGCCGCAATTAGCACATAACATGGCGCGCCATTCTGCATGATTTGTAAATTTGATACAGTGTAATATCATATTTATTTTGAGAATTATTTTAAAAACCTTTAAAATGCTAGTGTTGAAGTTTAAAAAAAATTATGACCAAATATGTCGGCGATTGTAATTGGATTCATATAATCTAATAAGTATGTGTGCTGTATTCAATATCATGTTTTCATATATAAATTAGAAATAAGTATTTGAAGTTTTGAAACCACTTTACTTACATACAAATAACCAGCCTTTTTTTAAAATATCATTTTAGGTCTTGAGCTACCTTCGAAAATCTGATTGGACGAGCATCATCCTGATACAACTGTCATGAGAGAGAGAGAGAGAGAGAGAGAGAGAGAGAGATGGAAGGGATTGAGATCTGGTATACAAAATAAACCTTAGCAGATTTTTTGTTTTGTATTACTTTTTTTCTAGAAAAAGATATTTCAAAATGGTTTAGGTTAGTGATAATGAACATTCTTTTTATTGTCAATGTATTTTTTTCTTCAAATAATAACTGGTCCCTGGATAGCGTGAGGTGTGAAACGATTCTAATAATAGAAAACTGGACGGTCCAGTTTTGCTAGATCACTTTATTTACAAATCGCAAGGCGTGTGCACCGTGTTGATGAATGCGAAATACCAAAATTTGGATAAAATACTCATACTTTTATAAATTATCCTTTGTTTTACTAACGATGGGATTTCCAATAATCAACTTTGTACTGTCAGCGTCTGGTAAGCACTATAAAAGGGTGTTTTATTTGTAAAATGTCATCTGCATTTTTTTTTTGTTTTTATTTATTCATTTATTTTTTTACCAAATTATCGTATCAACTTATTGTGAAATGTTTTTTTTTTTTATTTTCATAGAAACACCTTTACCGATTTGTAACTAGCGCAAGACAGTACAAATTTGAAAAATATTTCTTATTTCTTGGTTTACACACACGGCCCCCTGGAAGCTTGTGCAATGGGCCGTGACTGTGATCGATCACATATATTTGGAATTGAAACTATCACATAGGAAAGAAATATGGCGGACACCGCTTCGCTTGTAACGTATAGTAGGTTTATAACTTTGCAAGATAGCTTTAACCAATCAAATACTTGAATGCAAAAATTATTGTATTTAATTTATTGGAATGAATAAGTCTAGAGTCTGAGTTGTTCCGTATTTGACATTTGACGTGACCTTCTATGGATGCTGTTAGATGTTGTGTAGCGAGTATGCAAGAGGATCTAACATGTTGTTTTATTTAGATTGGGATTTTATTAAACTATATTTTTATATATTTTCAATAGGTTGAAGTAACTGACGAGCAGGTCAATCCAACTTGAAGTGCAAGTGGGTCTTCAAAAATGTGGACCACTCAAGGACTTTTCTGTTGGTTGATGATGAACTACAAACTGAATATTTAACAAAGAAATCCACTTTGGTGCTTATTGGCTACTAATGATGTGAACTTGTGCATTTATTATACCAAGTACTTTTACATTTCCTTGATGATACTAGACTTGCATATACCGAATTCAGGTTTAGTTGAGTGATTGCAGTTCTAAGTTCCTCTCGCAAGATTATATCTCTCATGTATGAGACATCATTAAATGCAGACATTTTCTCTGTCCTCCTGTTGTGACATGAGAGCTTGGACTTAGTTGTAAAAATATTTATGATGCAAGAGAAAATAAATGGCCAAGCCAATGTATGTAAATGTTGATAATAACATTAAATATTCTTTGATAACTAGTGTGAGTGTGTTTTGTTTTTTCCAATATGAAAATTCAGGAGAAAAATGAGTTTTGGTTGAAAAGCTGGGCTAAATTGTATAATTTATAGTACAGTTTCTGTTGCGGAAACCTATGGTACAGCATATGTATTTCAACCGTATACGCATACTGAAACCTTGCGTAAACCTCTCGTTTCAGCAAGTTTCAGTTGCGGAAACCTATGGTACACCATATGTATTTCAACCGTATACGCATACTGAAACCTTGCGTATACCTCAAGTTTCAGTTGCGGAAACTATTTGGATTCGTGGACACCTTTGGTTTCCGCACTGCGGAAACTTGAAGTTTCCGCACTGAAACTTTGCGGAAACTATTAGTAACCTTAAGTTTCCGCAGAGTTTCAGTAGAGTTTCAGCCATGCGGAAACTGTATTTTTCATCCAGTGTTTGTTCTCAATTCTTTGTCGTCATACACATGATACAAATGAAAGTATCTAATCCTCCTATGATTAATGCCAAAAGTTAATTTTGCTTAAAATTGAAGTTTTAACGATGTTTTCTACCAATTCTTATGATGATACGCCATACTGTTTACAGTTTCTATGCCTCCTGGTTAGGGCGCTGCGAAAATCGGCAGATGATTTTCCATTCGGAACTCAAATTTTTGAAACGACATGAAAAGTCTAGAGGTGCGCCAAAAGAGTTAGCGGTCCCTCTATTATACGTCTCTGATATTTACATAATTACTTGTATGTAGTGTTTATATCATTAATTTTCATACACTTTACTTTCATGATTGGAGAGGTCAGTTTTATGTTAAATTATTCTGCAATACAAGGATTGAAAAATACCAAACACCTCTGTTGAACTTACCGAGATACATGTTCAGAGCTTGTTTTTCAGCCACTTGCTTTTGCATTTGTCCATAGAGCTCTTTTACTTGTTGTTGATGAGTTACATCTACTGTCTTCAAAGTAGTTAATTCTCCATTTAGTCTCTGTAATTCTTCTGTCAATAAAAAAAATGTGTATGTTACTTACTGTGAAATCACAAATTTTTGTGGCGGTTTTATTTTCATTGTTTTCAAGGTATGAATAGACACACGAATTCATGTCCACCACAAAATGTAAAATGTTGCATACATAACTACTCAACAATTCTTCATGCATCAACGAATTTAATTCCCCACAAACCAAGAGTTTATCCTTAAACCACGAATCAAAATTTGACCCCACAAAAATACCGTAAATCTGGAAATTTTTGCTGTAGATAAATTTTAAGCAAATTTGCACGTTCGTTGCATTCGCAAAAATATTTTTCTTAAAAATAATTCAACAATTAGAAAATGTAAACAAAGTTGTGGTCATTCGCAAAATTTTGAAACGTAAAAATTAATCAACAGCATTTTGACCCTGATTCGCAAAATAAAATTGAAGTAAAAATTTCCAGATTTACGGTATGTGATTTTACAGTATTTGAATTTCAAACTGATTTTTAACCACTTCTGTATATATCTGTCGACACATTTAATTATTTCCTTAGTAGTAAATACTACCTTAACGAGGCCGAGTCTAATTCGAGTGCGCATGACTTTTGTGCAGCCTTTCAATTTCACCCAGTCATAAAAGCGACAATACACCTTTCCAAAATATTGTGATTTTAATTTAAAATTAACATCTGAAACTCCTCCTGGTCTAAAAATGTGATTTTAGGACAAGAATAGGGAAAAATGCTTAAAAGGCTCTAACGACATATTGTTTTCCGACTTTGTAAGCAATGCATGACGCTGAAGAATAGCACATGACTTGCTTATATGTTCGTAGACGTCCACGGATATTTTACTTAAAACTGATGACAGAACATCAGAAGAAACATAGCAGCTATCTAAATACTGCTATTTTTCACCAAAAAAATTATCTGCGCCGATAATTCATCTACACCAATATGTATTTATACCACAATATGGCAATATTAGAAGTATTAGGCATCTAAAAAATAAACTTTGTAATTAAGACTCAGACCAATCTAGATGGTCAACTTTTTTGAAATTTCAAAATTTGGTGACTTTTTACAATAACTTTCATCTACTTAAATGAAGAAGAAATCTCTAGGACAGAAATACAAAAAATATGGAAAAAATGTGATAATTTGGCACTTTTCCAACAAATTCCCATAGGGTCCAATAGTAAAATTTGACAACTTTTGATACAACCCCCAAAGAAATCGGGGTGGTAAGCATTCAATTTTTTAATCTTAAAACAATAAATTTAACAGTAACAAGAGGCCCAGGGGCCACAGCGCTCACCTGAGCACATCGGCTAGGAAAAAGCACACATCAGAACTGAAAGTTTACTGAGGTGTGGGGGGGGGGGGGCTTGAATTTTAACCACCCCCCAGAGGTTCATGATTTTAACATAACAAACTAGAATCTACACTACCTTAGGATGATTCCATACAAATATCACTAATCATGACATTGAAGTACTTGAAAAAAGATTTTAAAAGGTATCCCTATTTATCCCTTGTAAAACTTGGGTCGGTCATTTTGGCCCCACCCTAGTCCCGGGGGTCAAATAAACTTGAATCTACACTACCTGAGGATGATTCCACATGAGTTTTATCTTTCCTGGCCCAGTGGTTCTTGAGAGGAAGATTTTGAAAGATTTTTCCTATACCTTCCTATGTAAAAATTGGGTTGGCCATTTTGGCCCCACCCTAGCCCCGGGGGTCATGATTTGAACAAACTTGAATCTACACTACCTAAGGATGATTCCACATGAGTTTTATTTTTCCTGGTCCAGTGGTTCTTGAGAAGAAGACTTTTAAAGATTTTTTCTATATCTTCCTATGTAAAATTTTGATCGGCCATTTTGGCCCCACCCTAGCCCCAGTGGTCATGATTTGAACAAACTTGAATCTACACTACCTGCGGGTGATTTTGCATAAGTTTCATCTTTCCTGGCCCAGTGGTTCTTGAGAAGATTTTTAAAAAATGCCATTAATTTTTCTCTAATTCATCATTATCTCCCCTTGGAAAAGGACGTTGCCCTTCATTTGGACAAACTTGAATCCCCTTTTTCCAAGGATACTTTGTAGCAAGTTTGGTTGAAATTGGCCCAGTGGTTCTTGAGAAGAAGATGAAAATGTGAAAAGTTTACGACGACAACGGCGATGACAACGACTACGACAACGACAGACAACGGACAAATTTTGATCAGAAAAGCTCACTTGAGCCTTCGGCTCAGGTGAGCTAAAAATTAATGCACCAGAAGTCTCTGTCGAGACTTTAGCTCTACTGGTTTGTACTTATAACAAAGAATAGAAAAGAAGCCATTGTCATAGACCAAAACTGTAGAAGGAGTAGCGTTTTAAAGGAATTTCACAGACATTTCTATTTTTAGTAACAATAGCAACACTGTTCATAAAAATCAAAAACCGATGCACTATTTTATATATCTTAGTGTATTCTACTTGTATGCCAAGTTATATTGAAATCAGACCAAAACTGTAGGAGGAGTAGCGTTTAAAGGAATTTCACTGGAAATTCTATTTTTAGTAACCATGACAACACCGTTCATCGAAATCAAAATCCGATGCACTATTCTATGCATCTTAGTGTAGTCTACTTGTGAGCCAAGTTATATTGAAATCAGACCAAAACTGTAGGAGGAGTAGAGTTTTAAAGGAATTTCACATAAAAATTCTAATTTTTGTGACCATGGCAACACCGTTCATCGAAATCAAAAACCAATGCACTATTCTATGTATCTTAGTGTAGTCTACTTGTGTGCCAAGTTATATTGAAATCAGACCAAAACTGTAGGAGGAGTAGAGTTTTAAAGGAATTTCACATAAAAATTCTATTTTTAGTAACCATGGCAACACCGTTCATCGAAATCAAGAACCAATGCACTATTCTATGTATCTTAGTGTAGTCTACTTGTGTGCCAAGTTATATTGAAATCAGACCAAAAGTGTAGAAGGAGTAGTGTTTTAAAGGAATTTCATAGAAAATTCTATTTTTAGTAACCATGGCAACACAGTTCATCAAAATTAAAAACCAATGCACCATTTTATGTATCTTAGTGTAGTCTACTTGTGTGCCAAATTATATTGAAATCAGACTAAAACTGTAGAAGGAGTAGCGTTTTAAAGGAATTTCACAGAAAATTCTATTCTTAGTAACCATGGCAACACCGTTCACCGAAATTAAAAACCGATGCACTATTCTATGTTTCTTAGTGTAGTCTACTTGTGTGCCAAGTTATACTGAAATCAGACCAAAACTGTAGAAGGAGTAGCGTTTTTAAAGAATTTCACAGAAAATTCTATTCTTAGTAACCATGGCAACACCGTTCATCGAAATCAAAAACCGATGCACTATTCTATGTATCTTAGTGTAGTCTACTTGTGTGCCAAGTTATATTGAAATCAGACCAAAACTGTAGAAGGAGTAGCGTTTTTAAGGAATTTCAAAGAAAATTCCATTTATAGTAACCATGGCAACACTGTTCATCGAAATTAAAAACCGATGCACCATTCTATGTATCTTAGTGTAGTCTACTTGTGTGCCAAGTTATATTGAAATCGGACCAAAACTGTAGAAGGAGTAGCATTTTTAAGGAATTTCACAGAAAATTCTATTTTTAGTAACCATGGCAACACCGTTCATCGAAATCAAAAACCGATGCACTATTCTATGTATCTTAGTGTAGTCTACTTGTGTGCCAAGTTATATTGAAATCAGACCAAAACTGTAGAAGGAGTAGCGTTTTAAAGGAATTTCACAGAAAATTCTATTTTTAGTAACCATGGCAACACCGTTCATCGAAATCAAAAACCGATGCACTATTCTATGTATCTTAGTGTAGTCTACTTGTGTGCCAAGTTATATTGAAATCAGACCAAAACTGTAGAAGGAGTAGCGTTTTTAAGGAATTTCACAGAAAATTCTATTTTTAGTAACCATGGCAACATCGTTCACCGAAATCAAAAACCGATGCACTATTCTATGTTTCTTAGTGTAGTCTACTTGTGTGCCAAGTTATATTGAAATCAGACCAAAACTGTAGAAGGAGTAGCGTTTTTAAAGAATTTCACAGAAAATTCTATTTTTAGTAACCATGGCAACACCGTTCATCAAAATCAAAAACCGATGCACTATTCTATGTATCTTAATGTAGTCTACTTGTGTGCCAAGTAATATTGAAATCAGACTAAAATTGTAGGAGGAGTAGCGTTTTGAAAAATTGTTTACAGACAGACGGACAGACAGACGGACAGACAGACAGACGGACAGACAGACAGACAGACAGACAGACGGACGGACGCCGGACGCATTACTATCGCATAAGCTCTTCTGGTCTCTGACCAGTAGAGCTAAAAATAATATTGTGAATGTGCATAAAAACTCTTTATTTCAGCATATATATGAAATCAGGTCAATCAGGGCATTATACTATCAGGGCATTATACCTTCCCCCAAAAGGGGGCCGGAAGTTTACATCAATATGCTAATGGGAATTCCGTATTTGTCAGTTTTGTGGTGGATCTTAAGCGGCGTGTTATAGTTACTTTGAAATTTTAATAAATATTTCGATTATAGAAATGATAAAAATGCAAAATGGGAAAAATAAAACACTTCTTATAAATATACCTGTAAAATATACTGTATTAAATTTAATCTATACAGGTCGTTGCGTTCGAAACAATCTTGAATAAAAGAGGGGGGTGCTTAAAAAATCAACAACAAATCATCTAGGCCTAGAGTGAATTAAATAATTTTCAAAAAACAATAGACTGCAAACCATCAAGTTATATATATATATATGCATATATACCTGGCATATTCTTAATTGAAAAAGGAGAGGGATCACACTGATGAAAGGATATGTAATGAAATCAAATATAAGCCTATGCAACATGTATATGTATAATCTGTCACCAAGTAAAAAAAAATAAAAATGTCGCCATGCCACTACTTTTTTGCAATACATAAAATTGCAGATCTCAACGCTCCCTGGGATAATATTAGTGTGGACCCCCCCTTCCTCCCTTCTCACACACGTGCGTACATACTTTAAATAAAGTCAATCTTCTGCACAGATAGCGCTCAATCAGGGCATCAAAAATGACAGTGTTATTTTTTATATTTAGTGCATGTAAGTAAGGACTTAAAACCAACTCAATTTGTCTCGAAAATGTTCATTGATCAGCTAGCATGATCAGGCCGATCTTCGACATTTACAAAATATAATCGCTTTGATCAAGCTTTATCGAAATTATATTGAGAGAAATAAAATGAATGTTCTTACATGTATATTACGTTGTATTATTGTTTGAATTATTGTTTTTGTAATAAGTACTAACTTTCGCCGGTTATTTTTAAAAATAAATCGTACAAATATATTGACCAATCAAAAAAGGGCTTTCCCTAAGAATTTCAAGTCGTATGTAAACTTCCGGCCCCCTTTTGACAATTTCTCGGAATGTTGAAGCAGTAGGTCGAGTTTGATGAGGGATTTTTAATATTTGCAAGTGTGATACACCCTTCTGGTTCCACTGTCCGTAAGTTTAGACCTCGAAAAACGGACCACAGAAAGGATATGGTTCCAGGAACTTATTTTACGGAGTTTCAGACGAAAATACAAGTGATGACCTACCTCGAAAATCCAAGATGGCGGGTTTCGTTGGGTACCTTGTTTATTATTAGGTATGTGTATATTTTTTTTATTAAAAGAAAAATAAGTAACATCAGGTGCCTGTGGTAAAAACTTACTAATTCTTTGTTGTAAATCTTTCTCCAATTGATTTACAGTTGTCTGCAGACTGTCTGCTTTTTCTGCCACTTTTGTTTTCTCATCTGCAACAAAAATTATACATATTTACAAATTGATGTATATTTACATAATTACTTGTATGTACTGTTATACGAATCATTAATTTTCATACACTTTACTTTGATGATTGGAGAGGTCAATTTTATGTTAAATTATTCTGCAATACAAGGATTGAACCAGAAGTCTCTGTCGAGACTGTAGCTCTACTGGTTTATACTTATCAAAAACCATTGCACTATTTTATGTATCTTTGTGTAGTCTACTTGTGTGACAACTTATTTTGAAATCAAACTAAAACTGTAGAAGGAGTAGCGTTTTAAAGGAATTTCACAGAAAATTCTATTTTTAATAACCATGGCAACACCATTCATCGAAATCAAAAACCGATGCACTATTCTATGTATCTTAGTTTAGTCTCCTTGTGTGCCAAGTTATATTGAAATCAGACCAAAACTGTAGAAGGAGTAGCGTTTTAAAGGAATTTCACAGAAAATTCTATTTTTAGTAACCGTGGCAACACCATTCACCGAAATCAAAAACCGATGCACTATTCTATGTATCTTAGTGTAGTCTACTTGTCTGCCAAGTTATATTGAAATCAGACCAAAACTGTAGAAGGAGTAGCGTTTTAAATGAATTTCACAGAAAATTCTATTTTTAGTAACCATGGCAACACAGTTCATCGAAATCAAAAACCGATGCACTATTCTATGTATCTTAGTGTAGTCTACTTGTGAGCCAAGTTATATTGAAATCAGACCAAAACTGTAGAAGGAGTAGCGTTTTAAAGGAATTTCACAGAAAATTCTATTTTTAGTAACCGTGGCAACACCATTCACCGAAATCAAAAACCGATGCACTATTCAATGTATCTTAGTGTAGTCTACTTGTCTGCCAAGTTATATTGAAATCAGACCAAAACTGTAGAAGGAGTAGCATTTTAAAGGAATTTTACAGAAAATTCTATTTTTAGTAACCATGGCAACACCATTCATCGAAATTAAAAACCGATGCACTATTCTATGTATCTTAGTGTAGTCTACTTGTGTGCCAAGTAATATTGAAATCAGACTAAAATTGTAGGAGGAGTAGCGTTTGAAAAATTGTTTACAGACGGACGGACAGACAGACAGACAGACAGACGGACCGACACCGGACGCATTACTATCGCATAAATTCTTCTGGTCTCTGACCAGTAGACCTAAAAATACCCAACATCTCTGTTGAACTTACCGAGATACATGTTCAGAGCTTGTATTTCAGCCACCTGCTTTTGCATTTGTCCATAGAGCTCCTTTACTTGCTGTTGACGAGTTACATCTACTGTCTTCAAAGTAGTTAATTCTCCATTTAGTCTCTGTAATTCTCCTGTTATTAAAAAAATGTCTCTGTTTATCCAAATTCCAAACTGATTTTTAACCATGCACTTCTGTATGTCTGTATAGAAACAAATATTTGCAAGCATGAAATTTACCAATGATCTGTCAGTAAGACAATTTAAAGGTTTTTCATTCATAACACATTAATTCACAGGTTGTTTTTTGGGGGTAGGGGGGAGGTTGTGAGAGTGCAGCACTTAAAAGAGTTAGTTCCCTTACCTTTCAGCAGATGATTTTAATTTTTACATATTACCTCACTTTGTTGTGATTTTTCCCTTACCTTTCAACTGATGTTTTTCCTCGTTACATTTCACCTCACTCTCTTCATTTCTCCCTTACCTTTTAATTGATGTTTTTCCTCGTTACATTTTGCCTCACTCTGTCATCATTTCTCCCTTACCTTTTAATTGATGTTTTTCCTCGTTACATTTCGTCTCACTTTGTCGTGATTTCTCCAGCTTCTCCTGTAATGCTTTAATCTGCTTGACCTCTTCTTCCAGTTTCTTGGCATGGGCTATAAACAGATTCAGAATTTTTAAATATCGGTACATTTAAAAATTTCTTTCTTTCTTTTTTTATATCAATGGAATATGTTGGTACAGTCGCGAGAAATACACCAAAATAAAGTTCTCAAAAATAAAATGTGATTTACAGTATATAAAGCTGAGATCTACAAGACATGCATTTTTAGTGGAATAAGTAAGCTAACAGTGACCTATCAGCAGTGATCAATAATGCTCAAAATGTTTATAGCCATACTTTGTCAAAAAAAAAAAAAGATTTGGAGGAGAGGTAAAGATACATGCTTGCTTTACTGTAACATTCCAATTACATATACAAGATAAAATCTCTAACTTATTCTTCTGTGCTTCTGTACTTGTATTTTATTTTATTATATACCTAATGTGTATCACCCAATTTTACTGTTGAATTTACGCTATCACGTGACGTCGTGATCTGATTTTCTGAATCTATAGCACCACTCTCTGAAACTGATGAAGAACGCAGAAATATGACGTTATTTTTCTTGCACGTTAAAAAGTCCCTTGTTATTATGCTTTGTTTAATAGATAAATGTTATGCAATTGATCTCTAAAGTTTTCTTTTGCTATATTTTGCTAGTTATGAGGGGTATATAATAAATTTATCATTATAACAGTAACTTAATCTGAAGAGCCGTATCACGTCTCGTTGACAGGCGCGGATCATCAGATCAAACTTGACACTTTGCGTCTCGTTAGATCTGATGATCCGCGCCTGTCAACTCGACGTGATAAGACCCTTCGGATCAAGTTACTGTTATAATAATATATACAAAGGTTGTCCCAAAAAGTCGTAGACAATATTTATAACTTTTTTAACACACAAACAATACTAACCAAATTTTGCATAGACATAATACATCCAATGATCTTTAAAATTGTGAATTCTTAAATATATATCTTTCATATTAATTATATTGGGAGATTTATATCAAGGCCGATATGGTCTGTCGGCGCACGACCAAAATACGGAATAATTTACGCATATAACAATTACATTTGTTTTTATTTCTTTGGTACTATGTAAAAAATTGAAATAAAATTCAAATCATTGAAACCAGAATCGAAATCTTAATATGTCAAAATTTCGTATAAATAGCATTAGAAGCAGACGACTAGTGTCGTGATTTTCAAAGTGTTGTTTGAATTGAGATTGATAAAAATGACATCGTCGTACGCGTACCCGGCGCACGGAAATGTAATAAATTGTTTTTGGAATGTTTCATATTCATCAGAGACGGGGAAAAGGAGTACAGAAAGGACATCACACACTATATTTTAATAGAAAATTGTTTTTTAATAGCACGAGATTCAAAGATAGTTTTAATTCCCTCTAAATCGAAAAAAATAGTTATTGCATGTAAAGTAGAGCACTGATTGTTTACCGCAGACATTTGGGAACGGGTCATGGATGTTGTCAAACAAGGTGTATTCTCTGCTGCCTAAAATGTAACTTAAAGGTGATCTTTCAACTAATTTAATTTTGACTAAAATTTAAAGCTGCATAAGAAAAGGGACAGTAGTGAATTTAAATTAGTCCCTTAGCCAAGAGTGGTTTTTCACTATTTAAAAAAATATTCATTTGGATGTTAATAGCCTCATGTGAAGCAGAAAAAGGGACCATGACGTTATGAGAGACGTAAATTACGCTTGCTTTTGTGCGCCGATGTACACTTACACGGTTTCTTTTTTTTGTCATAGTTTTCTTATTAAATGTGGTATCGTCATGAAACTTGAAATGCATGATCATAAAATGATACTCTTTGCTATGACAAGAAAAGAAATTTGATTTAGCAAAGAGAAAATAAACTATGTTCCCTGTCTATGACTTTTTGGGACAACCCTCGTATGTATCAAGTCAAATCTATCTTAATCTTACTTTGAAGAAGTTGTATTGTCTTGTCCCTCTCTGGCAATTCTTTTTCCTTTAGTGTTTGCAGGGTTTTATCCTTTTCTGCTATCAATTTATCCACCATTTCTTTCAGATCTCTGTCCTTCTGAGGCAACAAAGTACACAATACTTCAGCTAATTTGTGGTCCACATGTAAGCTAGGTCCATCATTATTGTAAGTACCTTTTCCATCTTTCAACATGAAAAAAAAGATAAGGCATAATATGTTAACGGTGCAACCGTTAGAGCGAGCGCATTTAGATCGGGCTCATCAAACCGCACATGACATTTGGTGCGTCTAGACTCTGACATCACATGATGTCGTATGTAAGTTGCAATATCAAGAACAAGAGGCCCATGGGCCACATCGCTCACCTGAGAAGCTTTGGCCATTCTGTTCTTTACCAGATTTCCCCTTTGTAATACATATTGTGACCCCATCCCACTCCACTGATCATAAATTGAACAATTTGAAATCTACACTACCCAAGTATGCTTCCACATAAGTTTCAGCTTTTCTGGCCCAGTGGTTCTTGAGAAGAAGATTTTCAAAGATTTTTCCTATATATTTCTATGTAAAACTTGGATTCCCCATTGTGGCCCCCCCCCCATCCCCGGGGGTCAGGATTTAAACAATTTACAATCTACACTACACCAGGATGCTTCCACATGAGTTTCAGCTTTTCTAGCCCAGTGGTTCTTGAGAAGAAGATTTTCAAAGATTTTTCCTATATATTTCTATGTAAAACTTGGATTCCCCAATGTGGCCCAGCCCTACCCCCGGGGGTCATGATTTGTACAATTTACAATCTAAACTACCCCAGGATGCTTCCACATAAGTTTCAGCTTTTCTGGCCCAGTGGTTCTTGAGAAGAAGATTTTCAAAGATTTTTCCTATATATTTCTATGTAAAACTTGGATTCCCCAATGTGGCCCAGCCCTACCCCCGGGGGTCATGATTTGTACAATTTACAATCTAAACTACCCCAGGATGCTTCCACATAAGTTTCAGCTTTTCTGGCCCAGTGGTTCTTGAGAAGAATATTTTCAAAGATTTTTCCTATATATTTCTATGTAAAACTTGGATTCCCCATTGTGGCCCCGTCCAATCCCGGGGGGTCATGATTTGAACAATTTAGAATCTACATTACCCCAGGATGCTTCCACATAAGTTTCAGCTTTTCTGGCCCAGTGGTTCTTGAGAAGAGGATTTTTCAAAGATTTTTCCTATATATTTCTATGTAAAAATTAGTTTCCCTATTGTGGCCCCACCCTACCCCCGGGGGTCATGATTTGAACAATTTAGAATCTACACTACCCCAGGGTACTTCAACATAAGTTTCAGCTTTTCTGGCCCAGTGGTTCTTGAGAAGAAGATTTTCAAAGATTTTTTCTATATATTTCTATGTAAAACTTGGATTCCCCATTGTGGCCTCGTCCTACCCTCGGGGGTCAGGATTCTAACAATTTAGAATCTTCACTATCCCAGCATGCTTCCACATAAGTTTCAGCTTTCCTGGCCCAGTGGGTCTTGAGAAGATTTTTTAATGACCCAACCCTATTTTTGACTTTTCTTGATTATCTCCCCTTGTGAGGGGACATGGTCCTTCATTTTAACAACTTAAATTTCCCTTCACCCAAGGATGCTTTGTAACAAGTTTGGTCAAAATTGGTCCAGTGGTTCTTGAGAAGAAGTCGAAAATGTGAAAAGTTTACAGACGGACGGCGACGGACAAAATGTGATCAGAAAAGCTCACTTGAGCCTTCGGCTCAGGTGAGCTAAAAAGCCTGAACAGTGCTGAAAGTTCATGAACTAAGAACATTTCGTTTACTTTTATCTTCAATATATATCCATTAAATCAAGGCGAGTAAAGTTTTTGTTGAACATTTGCCATTATTCTCGCAAGAACGTAGCTTAAACAAGTGATGCATTGTGGGTCCACATTACTGCGTCAAAAAATTCTATTGAATAAATGCATGTGCAGTAGTCCAAATTTTTTCTTCGCCCAGGAATTGCTTTAAGAGCTCGCAGTGACAAGCATCTCTTCGCTATAAAGGGTCTCTAAAAAAATTGGAATTTTAGAGTTTAACTTGCTCAACATGCTTAAGAGGAATTCAATTTAAAGGAATTCTTGTTGTAAGAAAGAACTTGAATTTCCCTAACTGAGCATGTTCAGATGAGTGAAAACAATAAAGATTAATATTAAGTAGTCTTTTTTCCTTTTTTTTTTACTTTCAATTCAGCATACTCTTGATTATGGTTGTCTATTAGTGAAGTAAATACAGTTTCATACAAATGATACCATGCTTTCTCATTGTTTTACATATCAAGGAACTTTCCTATCTAATGATTAAAACAACACAGTTTTCAGTTAAGGAATCTCAGTGATACAGGCATTCCCAGGAACTCTTTAAATGAAGCAAGTTTTACTGTATCACAGAAGCTTTTTACTGACCCTGACTCACCTGACTCCAGGAGTTGTCTAGCTGTAACATCGGCCTCACTAACCGCGTTCTCTTTGATTGTTCCTGTCAATAGATAAACAACTTACAGTTCATACCAACCTTCTTGGGATTTTTTTAACAAGAGGCCCAGGGGCCACAGCGCTCACCTGAGCACATCGGGCTTGAATTTACCCCCCCCCCCTCCAGGCGGTCATCATTTTGAACAAACTAGAATCTACACTACCTGAGGATGATTCCATATAAATATCATTAATCATAGCTTTGAAGTACTTGAAAAGAAGATTTTAAAAGGTTTCCCTATATATCCTTATGTAAAACTTGGGTCGGCCATTTTGGCCCCACCCTAGCCCCGGGGGTCATGATTTGAACAAATTTGAATCTACCCTTCCTGAGGATGATTCCACATGAGTTTCATCTTTCCTGGCCCAGTGGTTCTGGAGAAGAAGATTTTTAAAGATTTTTCCCATATATTCCTATGTAAAACTAGGGTCGGCCATTTTGGCCCCACCCTTGCCCCGGGGGTCATGATTTGAACAAACTTGAACAACACTACCTGAGGATGATTCCACCTGAGTTTCATCTTTCCTGGCCCAGTGGTTCTGGAGAAGAAGATTTTTAAAGATTTTTCTTATATATTCCTATGTAAAACTAGGGTCGGCCATTTTGGCCCCACCCTTGCCCCGGGGGTCATGATTTGAACAAACTTGAATATACACTACCTGAGGATGATTCCACATGAGTTTCATCTTTCCTGGCCCAGTGGTTCTGGAGAAGAAGATTTTTAAAGATTTTTCCCATATATTCCTATGTAAAACTAGGGTCGGCCATTTTAGCCCCACCCTTGCCCCGGGGGTCATGATTTCAACAAACTTGAATCTGCACTTCCTGAGGATGATTCCACATGAGTTTCATCTTTCCTGGCCCAGTGGTTCTTGAGAAGAAGATATTTAAAGATTTTTCTAGACTTATATATTCCTATGTAAAACTAGGGTCGGCCATTTTGGCCCCACCCTTGCCCCGGGGGTCATGATTTGAACAAACTTGAATCTACACTACCTGAGGATGATTCCACATGAGTTTCATCTTTCCTGGCCCAGTGGTTCTGGAGAAGAAGATTTTTAAAGATTTTTCCTATATATTCCTATGTAAAACTAGGGTCGGCCATTTTTGCCCCACCCTTGCCCCGGGGGTCATGATTTCAAAAAACTTGAATCTGCACTTCCTGAGGATGATTCCACATGAGTTTCATCTTTCCTGGCCCAGTGGTTCTGGAGAAGAAGATTTTTAAAGTTTTTTCCTATATATTCCTATGTAAAAGTTGGGTCGGCCATTTTGGCCCCACCCTTGCCCCGAGGGTCATGATTTGAACAAATTTGAATACACACTACCTGAGGATGATTCCACATGAGTTTCATCTTTCCTGGCCCAGTGGTTCTGGAGAAGAAGATTTTTAAAGATTTTTCCTATATATTCCTATGTAAAACTAGGGTCGGCCATTTTGGCCCCACCTTTGCCCCGGGGGTCATGATTTGAACAAACTTGAATCTACACTACCTGAGGATGATTCCACCTGAGTTTCATTTTTCCTGGCCCAGTGGTTCTGGAGAAGAAGATTTTTAAAGATTTTTCTTATATATTCCTATGTAAAACTAGGGTCGGCCATTTTGGCCCCACCCTTGCCCCGGGGGTCATGATTTCAACAAACTTGAATTTACACTACCTGAGGATGATTCCACATGAGTTTCATCTTTCCTGGCCCAGTGGTTCTGGAGAAGAAGATTTTTAAAGATTTTTCCTATATATTCCTATGTAAAACTTGGGTCGGCCATTTTGGCCCCACCCTTGCCCCGGGGGTCATGATTTGAACAAACTTGATTCTACACTACCTGAGGATGATTCCACCTGAATTTCATCTTTCCTAGCCCAGTGGTTCTGGAGAAGAAGATTTTTAAAGATTTTTCCCATGTATTCCTATGTAAAACTTGGGTCGGAAATTTTGGCCCCACCCTTGCCCCGGGGGTCATGATTTGAACAAACTTGAATATACACTACCTGAGGATGATTCCACATGAGTTTCATCTTTCCTGGCCCAGCAGTTCTGGAGAAGAAGATTTTTTAAAAATGCCATTAATTTTTAACAAATTCATGATTATCTCCCCTTGGAAAAGGGCGTGGCCCTTCATTTGAACAAACTTGAATCCCCTTTACCCAAGGATGCTTTGTGTCAAGTTTGGTTGAAATTGGCCTAGTGGTTCTTGAGAAGAAGTCGAAAATGTGAAAAGTTTACAGACAGACGGACAGACGGACAGACGGACGCCGGACAAAATGTGATCAGAAAAGCTCACTTGAGCCTTCGGCTCAGGTGAGCTAAAAACTTATATATTTGTTGTAATATGTTTTACGGTGTGACCGTTGGGGCGAGCGCAGTTTATTTTCTATCATAAACCTACACATGTTCTGTCTATCATTCAAGAAAAAGAAAGAAAAAAGAAGAAAACAAAACAATAAAGATATATCACTTCTCAAGCATCGGGATCGAGATTCCAAACTTCTCGGAAGTTTACGACAAAAGCGGAAATACCCGAACCGTTAAAGTGACGAAAGTATGACGTCAGATAAAAAGTCCTGTTGACTCAGGACGCAGTTTTATTGAATGGAGATTGCATTAAATCATTGTTTTTATTTTCTTTTTGAATTAAGGTGTTGCTATGTTTTAACCTCCAAGTTGCTATGCACTGCAAAGCATAATATTGGGAGTTTGGAATTTTTTCACACGGTGAGATAAAAATTACTTGGAACAATGTGCAGATTTCAGCCCGAATTTCCTCTGTTTGTACACGTTAGTCTATTAAGCTCGCTACGCGAGCGGCGCTTCGCGCCACCTTGCTGCGCTTCGCGCCGCCTTGCTGCGCTCGCTATTATTTGCTTTAGTAAATAATCAATTTTTGTGCTTAAACCCAGTAAAATCCTCACAACATCAAGGGGGTCCTGATTCCACACACGACTGTGGTACCCTTGACAAACTTACATTTGGATTTTTGGGCCTACTCCTCTCATTAAGAAGCACTCATAAAATGGGTCTTTCAAACATTGATATGTACCGGTATTTAATGTAAATAGAAAGTATAAAGCATAGGGTGATACTTAAGTGTACTGGTTATTTGATGGTCACTGAAAGGCATCATATGACAATTCGATATAAGAAAAACAATAAAGATGTGTAATATTAATCCCTGAAAGACAAAGCTGAATTTAAGTCAGCCTCTAAAAAAATTAATAAATTGTTTGCTGTTAGGGGTCTTACAATAAGAGTGGACTCAGGACCATTGACTTTAATTGTTAGCTCCTCCTACCGGGTAATTTCAACTAAGAACATTAATTTAAAATTTAAGAACTTTAAAATACTGTATAAGTGGAAATTTTAGCGTCAGACACAAATTTAGCGATTTGTCCTTAAAAAATGGTATTTTATTTATAGCGATCAAGATGTAATTTTAGCGATTTTAAAAAGCTCATTTAAGAAACTATTACAAATATTAAAGCACAATAAATTTTTAATGATATTCAATTTTATCAATCTTGGCACCCTCGCTAATAATGACAAAATTAAATCCTCGCTAAAATTTCTGCTTATACGGTATACTATAATTACGACATATTAACTTAAATGATAAAAAATAATTATTAATGCTTACTCAACAATTCATCAAACTGGTGGTCTCTTGTTTCTTGACCTACTCGAACTGGTTGGTTGCAAACAGGACATTTCTGTTGTCTCTGGAACCAACTCTGAATACAGTGCGCACAGAAGCGATGTCCACATTTTATTGTTGAAGTTCCATTGAACAAATTGGTACATATTGTGCAGGTAAAAAAAGACTTTAAATCTGAAAGCTAGAAAAATCAAAGTACTGAAAGCACTCATGGGAGTTGAACATGGTGTAAATAAAATCTTTGATCGGGAGGTTCAGTGAGTGAACAGTATTATTATTTCAAATAAAGACAACTGTTTCACATTTTTTGAGTTGGAACAATCTTGATTGAGAAAGACATTCAGAGACATCGAATAGCAAAAAAATGCATGGGCCATAATGCTTGCCTGCCTACATTAGTCCTTTTTTATACCCCCTGCTTGAAAAGCGGGAGGGTATTTATTAATGGGGAAGTCCATCCATCTGTTTGTTACGCTTTAGGTATACCAATCTCTTATCCGCAACTCCTCTAACACCACTGAACAAAATTTTCATAGAATCTTTATTTATTTACATATTGCCGTTTTGCTTCTTCTATTACTTTTTCATCCTACACATATTTTGGGTTTCCCATTGCAAAACATGGACACTGCCATTATATTCATATTAGAGGCGGTTGATCATTTATATCACTGCTCACAGTCTTCAAATTTGTAATATATTTTTCCTTTGCACCTTTACCCATGTGATATGAAAATTTCAGTTTCGCAGGAATAATATCAATGTTGATAGAATGTGGATTTTAACACAGCATCCTTTTAAGAGCTAACAGGTTTGTTATATAAAACTTCTCTGTGAATAAAAATGTCCATGTATTTCAATTACACGAACATTACACATGGAGTACGTCAGAACTTAATCTCTTTTAATATTGTGAAGAAAAGAGCAATACCAAGTTAAAAACAAATTTAATATTTATTGACAAAACATAAAAACAGTGGTATATGTGAGAGTTTGTGTGCGTACAAATTATCTGGTATGTAAATGAGGTTTTCCTTTTATTAAAAAAAATATACTTCGTTTTGTTGTTTTTAATCGCGATTTTACGAAAACATCGGTGTCCGTTTTTGGTTTTAATATTTATAACAGAGTACTAGTTTTACCGCTTTTGGCAGGTGATACTGCTGATTTAATAATAAATACGCATGTTTCCTAAAGTTTTTATGCATTAATGAATTCAATTAAACCAAGAAAATGTTCATGAAAAGTTTGAATAAGACTAAATTTAACGTTTGCCGTCAGTACGTAGAGTTGTCGTTCGTATCTCTGTCAGTGTATGACGTTACACTAAAAATGAGTTCCATTACGAAAAACTTTCAAAGTTCTTTATAATTTAGTTTCATATATGTACTTTGAACGAAATCTAACATTCAAAATAAGATTACTTTATCATTACATTTACTTACATTATGAAAATTTGATTAATTCAGGAGAAAATGACATGAACTATTTGTCGCGGATGTTTATGTATGTTTTCTGTTGAATATCATCAGAGTAAATCGGGCGACACAGTAGCCTCGCTTTCAGCTCTATATAATCAACACAAATTACTGCGCATGTTAAATACGTGATGACCATGGGAGATTGAACATAGTTCAACTCCCAAAAATCAGAATGTTGAAAATTAATACCTGTTCTTGATAGCATCAACCCTTTTATTAAATACTGTATATCTGTGCTTCAAAAAGATTTTGTGTTTATCATTTTCATTTTTCCTCATTATAAACTGTAACATGAAGTGGTCAGTGGCCGCTAGAATTTCTTGTCTCACTAAAATGTTAACATTTTATATGGCAGATCAAGGAAAAAAATGCGAACGATCCCATAGTATTGTTCTCAAGCTTACCTCCAAGTCAATTTTCAAAAATTAAGAAGACTGAAGATATTCAGATGATTTTTTATATTAATTCTGATTTATAAATGGACTTTCATAAAACATTACTTATTGGGAGAACAATGAAAGATAGGCCTAAAATTGTGGTAAACTCATGTTTATCTCTAAAGAAATCAATGGAAAATGCAATATATTTGGAAACACATCTTCCACCCCCTAATCCCCCCTCCCAAATCAGAAATTCCCCCAAAAAACCTTTTTACAGGTAATATTGACTGTCATTTCACAAATACTGTTTGTGTTGGGGGGATAGGTAGACAATATTTTTGTCTTTTTTTCCATAAATACCTATTTTTTTCAGCAATTTCCGATTTACAACTGAAACATTGTTTTTTACTACATGTATTATATATGCCTAATTTTATAGGCATATAAAACATAAGAAAAGATTTTTTAAAAAAATTATTCATATCTAAGATTATTTCAGAAAATGGTGATGCTTTAATTTATAGCATGATTTCAGTGGAAAATATTGTCTATTCCCCTTTATTTCAAGAGCTGGAACTACAGGGATATTATGTAGTATTAAAATAATTAATCAATCATCATTAAACTGTTCTTTGTACTTAAAAGTGTGCGTAGTTCTTTCAAGTGTGCTCAGATTATCCAGTGAATAGAACAGAATATATTTATTATTCCAGATCAAGGCCCTTGTGGGCATATTACATACATGATTATTAAACAGACTGTCAGAGCATATAATACCGGTAGTTATTAACAAAGTGTAATGTAATAGTAGTATTCAGCATATTCTTAGTACATGTTTATACTTAATCAATTTACACTGTACACATGGTTGAAATAATTGCTAACCGTGTACCATTAATGCAAAAAAGCCAGAGATATACATACACAGAAAAAAAATATATACCGGTACATTTTTTTTACATATACACACATATACATATATACACACACACATATATATATATATATATTTGCATATCCACTGCTCTCTCTCACTATCAACCTGCAGGCTTCAACTATATAGCACTATAGACATCCTATATATATAATATATATATATATATATATATATATATTATATATATATATGAAATGTTTGATAAAAGGAATAAATATAAGTTTTTAATAATATTTTTAGGAAAAAAAGAAATTCAGAACAATTTAAAATTGCAGATTTATGTCTTTAAAAATTTAATTTTGGTCAATGTATTTAATTGCATAATAAAACTTTAAAAAATTGAAGAGAACTGCCATATTTTTATTTTTTCTTATCATTTTTTTTTGCATATTTGTACAAAGAACGATAACTCTTCACAGTTGGGTGATAAACATTCAGAAAAAGCAAACATTCTTTAATAAGTATGTCTATTTCAAGAACGATTTCAGCTCTTAAAAATAAATAGAAAAACTTTAAAAATCACAGGAAACATTCTGGAGTTATAATCATTATTAAAACATTCCCTTTTTTCATCATAAGGTTAAATTATTGATTTTTGTCAGAGGGTTTCAATAACGTTGATGGATGACGTCACAACTGCATCAAAACAAAAATTATTAAGAGAATGTCACGACAGTGTAGTTTGTATCCAGATAACTGTGATTAAGAGGCAAATACTGTACAATTTGTTTGTGATTTACTAGAGAAAAGGTGCAGTGATCAGGAATATTAGTTTTATAGCCTTGTGTTTTTCTTTACTGAAGACAACAAGCCACATATCCTAATGTAAGCCAGGATTTCCTCTGATATTCTTGACAACATAAAAAAATGCAAATATAAGTAATAAACAACGATTATTCAGTGAACATGGCGTTATGAATAGCAATAGCTCTGCTGGCATATTTTCCATGATGCGCTACCGCGCATCATGGAATATGCCAGAAAGCAACTTACGAAAACCCATGTTTACTAAATTTCGTACGAATTTCTTATAACCTGTTGCAATTAAGTGGAATACAAGTTATAATATATTCCACTAAATTGCAAAAGATACCATGGGACAGTGCAGTGGTACATTATAAGTCACCATGTTTGCATATATCTTATGACCAAAGTAATATTTATTAAGTGTTTGAAGTATACAAATTTTTTTTTCAATTTCTTTATACACGCATGTAGAAGACACGTACGTAATTATACTGCACCATCGATCAACACACAAGGGAATTTAAGAACTTCAAATTCAAAAAAAAAATCAGTAACAGTGTTTTTCTCTGAATATAGAAATTTACATGTACCTATTATTATTATTATTAAGAGAAATGCCACATTATATGCAGTATTTTATATGGTTTGTCTAACCAGTTCACAAACAGCTGAAAGTACTTCAATATTTTCACAGTTTTAACCCATCACAACTTATTTTCATTATTTAAATGAGAAAAATTGATACAGTGTCTTTGTATAATATTTATCATATACCAATGTATTCTCTTTAGAGAAGTAGGCAATAGGCTGATAGCCTGTCCACTTCTCTACAGAGAATAATACCAATGATGTGCCCCCGTTCTTTTTCTTAACGATTCATTGTAATTGTTCTCAACAGCTCAAAAGACCCATCATTATGAAGTCTGTTTCACACTGCACTCTGAAAACAGTTGTGAAAACAGATACTGATCTGAGAATGAGATAGTCATTGGGTGCAGCATTCACCTTAGTTGTTACAACGCACTTTGGTAAAAAAGTTGCTGTTTAAAATTTTTTACCATTGGCCAAGCCACTTTGGTACCAATAAATTTTTTTTTGCCAATGGTAGATTTTTCTGCAGACTGTGTATAGATGTGGTCAGTGTTCTAAATCTTTGGTATGATAAATAAGAACCTGTTTGATATTTCTTCTGTGACAGGTGGCAACAAGCTATGAAAGTGAGCGATTTTGATTTTTCAACGATATAAACAATTTTTCTCGCTTAAATCTTTACTTAACAAGTTTGCATGCATTTCATTTAAACATAAAAATTATATGAAAGTTTTATATTCATGATTTTGTAAACACATATATTTGGGTGTAGCATTGGCATAAGTATTAAATGGATTATATAAATATTTTGCATAGATATACATAATATATACATGTTTGAAAACTCCTAATGTGGGGTCAACTTTCAATTTGCTACCGACGATATGTACAATGTTTATGACTTTCTTGTGATTCTGGCATGTGCAAATAACTTAAATGAGACATGTAAATATATAAAAAGTTTTTCCAAAGATATAATTATTACAATTTGATTTCCCATTGGTAAAATCTAAGTAAAATTTTTATTTTATGCCAATACCCGTTCAGTGGTTTAATGCCTCCAGTGGTAATAAATTGTCATTCTTGTACCAGTGGTATATTGAAAGTTGGTACTAATGGTAGAATTTAACGCACCCAGTGTAACTTCATTTTTCGAAACGGCAAAGATGCGTTGCCACACCCCGTGATAATATTTTGACAACATACCTTGACTAGTTTTACGTCAAAATCTCTGTCCTCGGACTCAGAGATGATTCGCTGAGTTGCCATCCTTAATGTGGTCTCTGAACAGCATAAAATCTCTGTGTCTGCTTGCCTTTACAGCAAAATCTATCTGTAAGTTGCCTAACACTTTCGCTATTTACAATCTGCGAAAACGAAAGTAGTCTGTCCATCAGATTTTCCGAAATCCGAGACAAACGCGTACACATTGTCAATGCATACGTTCTCCCACTCGGCAAACCTCGGCCGGTGCGTCGATTTACTCAAAAGGACCCAAAAGGACCAAAAAGGAAATCAGGAACGACCCAAAAGGACCCAAAAGGAAATTAAGAATGACCCAAAAGGACTTGAAATAAAGAGAATAAATGGATATATAATATAAACAATTTTATTATTTTATTAAAACTAAAACTATTTTTTGAGGGGAAAGTTTGTGTTTGGGGTGGGGGTGGAAGGTACCCCACCGACCCCCAACCCACCCATCCCCGATACCACATGTCATAAAATATAACTTATTTCTTAATTCATCAAATATCATATATATATAGTAAGATATGGCAAAACAGAAGGAGCAATAAAATAATACTTTTTTTAATTTCAGCTAAAAGAAATAAAAGCATAACTGACCAGATTAGTGTTTGATGTGACTTATAAAAGTCGTGTTATTTCTTTGAGAAAAGTTGCGACAATATAAATGTATGTTTTTGCCAACATTTAGGTAAATTATAATATAATTTGCATAATTTAATTCAAATTATTCATTTTCAATGTATCATTAGTCAGCCCTCGGGCTGACTAGTTACGTTAGGATGAAACTGCAAGTGCGCTTGCGTTAATATATAGGAAAATTCTTTAAAAATCTTCTTTGCACAATTTTTTTATGTGGAAGCATCCTCAGAGTAGTGTAGATTGCTTGTTCTACACGCACACACGACCTCGATCTATTTTATAGACTGCAAAATTGTTCTTCGTCGTTCTCGAATAGCAAATTTGATCAGTCATGACATCGAAACTATTCAATAAAAAAACAATTTAGACTTTTTCCTAGCATATTTCATTTGTCAGTTTTTAAATGATACTGTGAAAATATTTCTTTGCTTTAATAGATGTAGTAGTGTTAGATACATTTATTCCCTACATTTAGCGATTGCAAGCCGAAGATTTAAATTGTGTATTCCTCTGGATGCCCAAAAGAAATGCAAGACTTTTCATCAAACTTCATATTCAATACCTTGCATAAGACATGCAACTGCATCAAAGTTTTTCACACAACAATCCACTTGCCACAAAGGTCCCAAAATAGTTGATAAAACTTGCAAAAAGATCAATTTCTCTTTTACTCTAATGATGCTTTGAATTATTGTAATTATATGTCACTTTATTGTTTTCATATTCGATTGCATTTCACTTTGACCACTGTAAGACAGAAAATTCTTATAATTTACATGATGATACAGTTTCTTAAATGCCACTTGTACACGTGAACCACACAAAGAATGACATGTGAGACCACAGTGGAAATGCGATAGCTGAGAGAACTGTGCTGATTTATAGACTACGTTTACACACCCCCCCCCCCCCGTTTGCCCGAATGTAAGGAGAGAGATTTTGGTTATTTTCCCCTCTATATCCAAGTCTTGACATTCTTTTGCAGTTTTTTAATCTATAGTTTCGCTATGATGGTAGACATCATCAAAGACATTTTGTGTACATGTATACGTCCCGCATGTATAAACATATTTTGAATTTCCATTTAAAATTGTTTTCTGTGGCGTTCATTCCTTTTTAAAACATCATGAAGCAATTCTTTTCTTTCCTAATAACACTAAAATGGATGCTCAAACTTAGAAATTAAATTAAATATAGATGCAGTATTTTATATGCCCCCCCCCCCGTGTCAGACCGTACACACACACACATGCATTGCATCGAAATGCACACAAATGAAAACTGTTATTTAATAATATTTAAAAACGATAAAACTAAAACAAAGTCTACCTTCCTTTTATTCTCAAAACGTAATGGACTGCATATCATTTTATATATATTATTTAACGTGATCTTAGTTGCCATGGTGGCTTTTTTTTCATTTACCGGTATAAGATGAACTTTCTCTGATGTCTGCTCCGTGGAGAATTTTTTGGAGATCATTGTAATGGTCACGATGCAGAATTTAAAAAAATTATTCTATGCTTTATTATTTATTATGTATGTGGCATTATGTTACAAATAAGAAAACGATTACACTAATTTAACTTTTCTTACAATGGCATTTATTACATTTAAGGAACACAGCACGATGAATAGATCAAATCATAAACCATTACAAAACAAGAAAGAAACTTTCTGTATTCCAGTGGCTGACACTCAGCTTTTTTAAAAAAGCTAACCTTGTAATATATTAATTTTAGTCCTTTTGATTTCCTTTTGGGTCCTTTTGGGTAAATCGACGCACGCAACCTCGGCTGATTCCGTGGACTAGATCAAAGTTAGATGAGTTCCTAGTGTGTGTGTGTGTGGTGATGGTGACGTTTTCCAAGAATTTCTTTTTTTCAACAGATTTAGAACTAACTTTGATTTTGAAGAGAAATATCGGGGGTGGGGGGTGGGGGGGGTGGGGGGGTGGTTGGATGTTCATTCTATTGTCTAACTTTGGGAAAAAGGGGGGGGGGGTCTTATGTAAGTTAGTTTCCTTTTTTTTGTTTTTTTTTTTTGTTTTGCTTTTCTGATCACATTTTGTCCGGCGTCCGTCTAGCTGTCTGTCTGTAAACTTTATTTGTTGGACATTTTCCCGCTTTACTTTTAATCTCATAAAAATGTTAAATATTTTGCTGGGCCAAAATTTCATAAAACTTGCCACAAAGCATTTCAAATGAAGGGCCACGCCCTCATTCAAGGGCAGATAATTGGGAATTAATGAAAATTTGGTGGTATGTTTTAAAAATCTTCTTCTCAAGAACCACTGTGCCATGAAAGATGAAATTTTATGGGGAAACATCCTCAGGTAGTGTAGATTCAAGTTTGTTCAAATCATGACCCCTTTGGGAGTGTAGGGTGGGGCCACAATGGCCACTAAAGTTTTACAGAGAAATATATATTGAAAATTCTTTAAAAATCTTCTTCACACCGAATAGCCGAGCCAGAAGTTGATCATAAAATTCTATGTGGAAGCATGGTGGTGGTAGTGTAGATTTTTTTCAAGTTTTTTTTTATACCACTAAGTACATGACTACTTTAATATATGAATTGACTACATTGTATTAGGTGGTACCAACAAAAAGTGGGGATGGAGGCAAAGTTTTACTTTTCCAGAGAAATATATAGGAAAATTCTTTAAAAATCTTCTTCTCTAGAATAGCCGAGCCAGAATTGTATATATAATTATATATTGAGACTTGGGGGTAGTGTAGATTCAAAATTGGAGAATTTTTAACTCAAATCAGAAGACCCCTGGGTAGGGCGGGGCCACATATGTGCAGTGGGGGATCCAAAGTTTTACATAGAAATATATAGGAAAATTCTTTAAAAATCTTAACCACAGTGCCAAGAATAGCAAAACCGTGATCTGTCATGGGACTACTTTTAGATTTAAACTTTTCAATAATAAACCAATTTCTACTTTTTCCTAGCAACTGTGCTATATACAGCGATTGGCCCATGGAAGAATAGCTTATATTAAAATAGATTCAACCTGCAGTACATGAATATCCATATCATCAAAGTTTAGTTTTGCGTACTAGTATGTAGTAGTGTTAGATACATGGTTCATTTGAAAATTTAGTGCCTACGTTGATAAGGTAATAAGGTTTCTTTAATAACCCCGTGAGAGTGATTGCTGTTACTTAGCCCCAAAGGTGTCAGCAAGCCAAAAGAGATGAGGACCAAGATATTTTCATCAAACTTCATATGCTGATAGATATTGATGAGAGCTATGCAACTGCATCAACAGTTTTTGACCTTGACCTTTCCTTTGACCTTGGTCTCACTTTTCTTAAATGAGTGTTTAGCTCAGTTTTAAAAATACCATTCAAGATGGTGTTATCAAACTTCCCATGTTGATACAAACTTGCATGGATGATAGTTTTTGGAGCAGGTCCATTCCTAAGGAACTATAAGCCCTACTTGGACCAAACTTGCATGGATGATGCATCTAGAGATGGACACTACCAGACTTGCTTCGGATGCTGGATCTGACCTACAATTTCATTCCCCAGTAACTATAAGCCCTACCTTAACCAAACTTGCATTGATGATGCATCTAGGGATGGACACTACCAGACTTGCTTTGGATGCTGGATCTGACCTATATTTTCATTCCCAAGTAACTATAAGCACTACCTGAACCAAACTTGCATTGATGATGCATCTAGGGATGGACACTACCAGACTTGCTTCGGATGCTGGATCTGACCTATACTCTCAGTATTTTCCAAACAAGCAATTCAGCTGCATCACTATTCAAGATATTCTAATCAAATTTCATACACATACAAATTTTCATGTTGCTTTACTAATATATCCTCAGCGGGGCATTCATGTCTTATGGACATATTTCTAGTTTTTCAAGTACCACTGGGCCAGAAAAGCTTTATTGTATGTGGAAGCATCCGGGGGTAATTTAGATATTAAATTGTTCAAATCATGATCCCTTGGGGTAGGGCGGGGCCACAAAAGGAAATACAATTTTCACATTGGAATATAGAAAAATCTTTTAAAATCTTCACAACCACTGGTCTAGGAAAGCTGAAACTTATTTGGAAATATCTGTTAATGTAGATTCAAAATTTCCCAAATTGCCATCCCATGGCATAGGTTGGGCCACCATAGGTATTGCAATGGAAGGGGGGAATGAAGAACAGCATTGCCAAGTTTTTCAGGAGAGCACTGTGGTCCATGGGCCTATGTTTTACAAATGTTTCTCAACAAATCAGATTCAACCAATTAAAACGAAAAGTATAAAATTCATAGCTATAACATATTTCATACAGAAGCAACTTTTTCATGCATGGGTCGAGGACTTTTAAAAATTTTTTTTCGGGGAGAGGGGGCACTGGTCTTTAAACAAACGTGACTCTAATTACATTTGTTTTTGTTTAAGACAGAGTGTGGGACAGGTCACTTTCCAGCTAAATTCTTGAGAGTCCCATGGAGGTTTGGATCCCTCCTCCCCAAGGATC